GATTTAAAGAGCTCACCTATGTTTACGTTTTCCCTCCCCCCACCCTTGGAAGAGTTTTTAGTAAAATACCAAAGCAGAATATATCAAACTCAAGGTCAGGAACTTACAACTGTGTTCATTTCAAAAGTAATAGACATAGGATGCCATCTAGTGGCCTTCAGAAAAATGTTCCAGCTTAAAATGCGCATACACATCACCCGTCCTCTGAATGCAATCTCTAGCGATGTGTGGATGGGACGCCCGACTGTAAGAGACATTCTTAGGAAATGTGTATATGGGACGCCCGTCCTAAAAGGGTTAATCATTACTTTGTCATGATCGTCACTTTTAGCATAGCAAATAAATTTTCTGTTAATCATTGTGATTGGGGTATCTGAATCTACAAAATACTCATAAATTTCCCTTTTCTGTTATTTCATATACAGTTGACTTTCCAATGCAAATACTCCATACTCCTCGCATTTCCGTAATCCTCACATAATTTTGAGATGGATATTTTTTCCAGCAATTCCACTTTTTGTGTAATGGACATCGAAACATGCTATCGCTTTGTAGATCCTGTTGCAGCTCCAGAATCAGAAACTCTTTTCGACGTAATCAAAAGTTCAAACTTTAATTTTCATAAAATTGTTGTAATAATAACAGCCTGCAAAAAGTAATAAGCTGGATCAAATCAGAAAGTTAAGGAACAGCACAATCTGCTAAAGTAAATAAAATTTCTTGGAATCAGCAAAGTATAGTTTTAATCTAGCTTAACAGTGTCCAGTATACACTATTGGTTTTGTAGTATGAGATTGTCGACGAAAGACAAGTTGTTTCATTAAATTTTGTCTTGCTCCTATCATGCACCGAGACCTTTAACCCTCTCGCTGCACATCCCGCGATTTCCACGTGCAACGTAGAAGTGTAGCAAAATTTGCGCAACCTGCGATTTCCGCGGGGATGAATTTTTGTCGTCTATTTAACTGTGCAACCTGCTCTTTCCCCGTTCAAGGTTTCCTTTCGGCATTTCTGTGATGTTTAATTGTTTATTTAGATGTGGGCTAACAGATGGCATTAGTTGTCCACATTTCTGCCAAATATACCAAGGATACGTAATGTAGCATTTTATGCGCGCTTTTCAGAGCTCAAAGATGTCTGGCAGGAAGCATTTCGCGAGTGATGTAACCTATATTCCTGATGATATTTCCGACACTGATAGTAGTTCTGACTCTGATTTCAAGTATATTTGAAGATAGTTGTAGCGAAACTGATGAGAATTTCTCGGATTCCTCTGCAGATAGTGATGAATCAGTTTCTATTGAAAACGTTCAATAGTGGTGCAAAATTGATATGCAAAATATTACATTATGCAAATATTTTCATTAGTATATATGTTTTACCTTTGTATTTTATAAAATAAGTCATAATTTTACCAATATTAATTTACAAAATTTTTCTTTTATATCATTATTCTTCAATTCTGACAACCTTTTTCTATGATCTAATTCTATATTGGGGGGGGGGGAAACTCTTTTACAAAAATTTTTTTAAATATTTTAGCTCTAAAATATATGTAGATTTGAAATATATAATAAAAAAATACGCCATTTTTGAACCTATTTTGATTAAAAAAGTACACATTGAGAGGGTTAAGCCTGAATTGTATTAATTTAGTTTTTTATTGTAAAATTGCATCTATTTCTTGCACATGCTTAAGGCTTATCTGAGTTGTGAATAAATAAATTCCCACATATACTTAAGCTTACTGAGGGCTGACACTAGATATTTTACCGCTTGATGCACTCTCTGCAGTTCTTACTTAAATTCTGCTACCACCTCCCTATAGTTCTAAATTTTTGCCACCCCTCAATTTTGGCCCCAATGCATTTCCTAAATTCTAAAAAAATGTGTCATCGCTTAATTTTGTTAGTCGGTGCTTCTCTAAATTCCAAAAATCTTCTCTAAATTTTGTGCTGCCTGATACATCCGTACGAGCTCTGGTGTCGTCTCTGGGTTTATATGAAAATCAAATCAGTTATTCTTAATTCAAATAGCACTAAATGAAATTTTGGCCTATGAATATCATTAACAAAATCTATTTTTAATGTGGAAAGAAATTTTTGTTAAATTTTTCCTCCTAAAAATTTAGCACATCTTAAATCTGTAATCAACATAAAAGCGTAATGTCAACATAAAAAGTTACCATGCTCTTTGTTATTTAATTACTACAATAAAAAATTATTTAGGCATCACTGCATGAGTCATTACTCAAGTTGTCATGTGTTGATAAACATGCGGTGATCAAAGCACAAGACAATAATTAATGATTCGCCAGGTTGGGCATCATTGATTATAAGTTGGTCTTGGTAAAATCAACGATGTTTCTATGTAGAATGTTTCGGTTTGAGATTTATGCCAAGCAGATATGCAGCTATGGAGCCAAATTATTGATCACATAATTTTGTGCTAAAATGATTGTTTTTTCAATAACGAGGCATTTTATTTAGTGCCGAAGTGGAATTAAGAATCTGGCCCCTCCACATGTTTTATTACAAGAAAAAATCAGATGCGCATGCAAAAAGCATAAAAAATTCCTAAAAAATTTTTTTGATAGCTCTAAGGTCTGGAATTTAGATCATCCTGATATTGAATGCCCGGATCTCAGAATTTGTTCCGTGTAAGCTTTATCTGGTTTTCTTTAAAATTTAAGATGTGTGAGAAAACTTGCATTTATTTTGTGTTTATACCCAAAGCTGGGGCAAGGGTGAGGCAAGTGAGGCATTTGCCTCAGGTGAACAACTAGACGAGGTGCCAAATTAGCTACAAAAATTTAGAAATTCATTCTGTAAAGAAATTCTGATTCGACTTTGGAAGCACCTCAATAAGTAGCAAAAGAATTTGAATTCTTATAAATCCTCCAGCTGAATTAAGCGAAGAATTTATAATACTAATTTTTCTCAAAAGTTTTGAGGTGTGTATTAATGTGTATACTGTTGAATTTTATTTAAGCTTGTTGCAATTAGTTGCATAGAGTAAATTTGCCAAGAACGCTCTGACGTTAATATTTTCTACTATTATTCTTTAGTTTGGACTACAGGTTTTTCTTCGCCATAACAAACTATTCAAAGGTCACTAATTGAGTTAATGCAGTATCACAAGAGCCTAATCCTTGTTGCACATGATCTAAGGCATAAAGCCCGAATGGAATAGCATTGGAAGATCAAATAAAGATGTTTGCAGATGAAAATATGCCATATTATCAGGCATTTTCTTTTGTGTAAAATTTGTTGTTAAACGAGACCCATGGTGCGAGGTTGTGTCCAAACTGAATCTGTGATGGAACTGTGCTGTTGGTTGTACTGACGATTATTTCTGAAACAGATTCCTAGACTGATTAAATGTTTCGTGTAATAGCCTATCTCATTGCTTGTTATGCCTGGAATGCAAAATATCTAGGTAGGACATGACTTCTTTCTTTTTCTTTTTTGACTTATTTTATATGATGAAATATTAAAATTAATTCATCATCATAAAATAGAAAAGGAGGTTGGAAGATTTAAGACAAACCGTTGTATCTAATTTTAATATAACTGATATTGACATCAAGAAACATGTCTTAAAAGTTTAGTTCATCTATGTTGATTATAAGGTAATCAGTATAAAAAATATTTTTTTAAAAAGCCTGTTCTTGTAAAAGGAATCGTAAGAAATACAGTTTTGGAAAGATTGAAATATGAAGGAAGGAAAATAAATGAATGCGATAAAGCTGTTGATTTAAAGATTTGAAAAACGAAAATTAAATCAAAACGTAAAAATCAGTTAGACTAGACTGGCAAACTTGCTGATTACTGAGAATAAAATTAATGTCACTTAACATTTGCTAAAGTTCACACATTTAAACCCCTTAGCTAACTGATGAGCTGGATAAAAATAAAGAACTAAATCTTTTTAATTTTAAATCTATGCTTATTGTAAGAGCATGATGAGAACAACAATCTATGACAACATATCCTGACAGCCCATCTATTAGCCATAATTAACTAAGAGTTAGCTAGCAAATAAAGTTTTCTTCAAGCTCAAATAAGCCTTTTGTGCTGTGATAATAGATTTGAATAATAAACTGTATGCAAATATTAAAGAACTGGCTCATTGATTAATCGACTATAGTAAAGTTTGGATTTTAAGGCAGTAATAAATGTATTGTGGGAGGAAATTATTGCGGAATTTATGTAACAAAATTACAGTTCATGTTAAAATATGAGATACTGTTAGTTATAGGACAACATGTGGCAAACAATTTTCTAAAGAAACATTATATGTACCAATGTTGCCTATTAGCCACCATTAAATTAAATATGTTATTCTCATCCCTTATAATAGTGCTCTTCTTTTCAAAGCTAGTATTGCCAGTGAAACCTTTTTAAAAGCATATTATTCTGTTTTCTTCCATTGTTCATTGAAATAAATGACTTTAGAGATATATTTTTTATATATTAAAAAAAATTACCACTGTTGAAATGACACAGACATATTAGATTTTTAATTCTTTCTAAAATCAAGGAGCTGAGTAGCTTCTGTTAACTTCTTTTAATACAATGCAAATTTTAATACATCAATGAACATAAATGCTTGAAAGTAATTTCCCGTAGAAGTATTTATTTAACTTTTGCTTAAGATTTTTGTAAGGTCAGTAGTTCTGAGTGCTTAAAGATTTTTTTTTCTTTTAAAGCATGTAATAGTGAAAGGAAGCTAGTTAACGAAATTGGAGTGACTACTAAGTAGGTTGACTGACTAAATGCATGTGCATTTTTTTTGGTTAAACTGCATTTCAATTAATTGGAGATTTATTGTAGCATTAAAACTGTTTTTTTTTAAATTTTTTATTTTGCATATGAGACAAAAGCCGTCATATCATTTTTGTTTTGTGACCTACAACCATATAAAATTTATGCCCAGAATTTTCTAGCATTTGTGTATGAAGATCTAACATCAACTTATGTTCTGTTCTCTTTATTTAGTATTATCTGGATCCACCACTGAGACTAAGAGAAAGCTTAGACAAGTATGAAATTCCTCATGAGCTTTTTTTTACAATGAAACATGGAGAAAGTAGATTGATTGCTCAAAATAACTTAGTCAAAAGAAATCTTTTAACAGTGCAAAATAACAGATAGTCCAAGAATTTTTTTAAGAATATTGACATACAATTAAAGCATATATTATTTTTTAGAGATCAAATTTTTGTTCTCTTGTATTCTGAGTGATTAAAGAAAAAGACCAGTGCATGCTGTGTAAATAATTGAAACAGCTAAAAATGAAAATTTGCAGTTTAATGTTGTAAATGTTAATATAAAAATAAAAACTTGTCTAATTTGTTTCATAGTTTGATTGTGGTTTGCCAATATTTTAATGTGATTGCATTTTCAGTTTGCAGGACATTGAACTGTTTGCTATATGTGTAGTGCTGTGCAAAGATTTAGTTTCCATTCCCTTCCGGTTTGAGATTTCTTGATATCTCTGCTATACCAGTTCTTGTGTATTTGTTACTGTTTAGGAAGACTAGGTTTTGAAATAACCATGTAAAAAAGATTACTTGCATTTTTATTCCCAAATTGCACCCATGGTTAAAATTGCAGTATGTATCAATTTCTGCGTTTTCCTATAGATAGTAGTTTTCTTCTTCCACTTTAGTCATTTATCATTTGGTCTTTGGTTTTTTACAAAATATTATACATTTAGCTGTTGATTTAATACCTACCTACAGGTTTAATGTTGGAGTAGATAATAGTTTTCTTCTACCACTTTATTCAATTGTCTTTCGGTCTTTGGTTTGTACAAAATAATTATATATTTAGTTATTGATTTAATACCTACCCACAGGTTAATGTGGGAGTTTGTTGTGGTTATCATGTTAATAACATATGCAGTTGTATTGAAACATTGGCAAAACAAGATTTGAACTTATGGTCCAGATATTTGATTGTTAATTCTGTCCATCAACTTTATACATATGTTGTTGATTTAAAATGCATAACAATTATGAGAATTTAGTTTTATATCAAAGAAAATAAATGTGGTGGTAAATTTAATATTTTTGCGTTACAATTGCTTTCTTGCTCTTTTTTAATGCTGTAGTGCCTGCTGAACAATGGTGTGTTTTTCAAAAATATATATTTGATATATTTCATATAATAATTGTGCAGTATATATGAATAAAAATGAACTGTCATTCAATACAGATGAGCCTTATATTTTTATAAGGATTTAATATTGTTATCTGCAAAAATTTATTTTTAAAAGCAGATATGTTAGATTTTTTTATTTTTTGTGCTGTACTGGTTTATAGATTGCTGAAATGTAGTTCTGCTCCATATTACAATTATTGAAGTACTGAAGTATTAGTAAATATTTATACTTTTAATGCTTATAAGAATGGTGGTCAGTGTGATACTATAGAAGCATTTCTCACCATTTCATGCGTGTTTTTAATTTGTCTTGTTTAGAAACAAAAATTAACAAATTGCTCATGGTGTGTTATTTTAATCAAAATCTTAAAAATTGGACATTATTGGCTAGTAAATTAAAAAAAGGTGACTTGTTTAAGTGAATGCATCAAAAGTTCTGCGAAAGCAGCACTTAATATGTGCACCTGTTTTAAAATTTTAGTTTACTTTGGAAAACGGACATTTTGTGTTGACTATGACACATAGTGTACATGAGATGTTTTAATTGCAAAATTAAAATAGCTTACTATAATTAAGCAATTCATCCAAAATTATTCCCAAGTTACATTTTTTTTGTCACTTCAAATTTATGCAAAATTTATCTTCTGAGCTTTGCAAAATAAAAACAGGTGAGAAACACAGCAAGTGAAGTGTAAAATTAGTAATGCAACAAACTTGAGTTTGGCGTAGATATATTCAAGATCTTATCGATTTTGAGGGCAAAAAAGCATTTCTTTGTGAGGAGCAAAGAATCAGTCTTGCAGATTTCTTTGCTCCTGATGAAGAGGTATGTATATTTTTTGCCCTTGAAATCAATACAGATCTTGACTAAATCTGTGCCAAACTCAAGGTTTGTTGCGGTACTAATTTTATTATTGAAAAATAGTTATAAATTTAACTGTTGATTTAATCTCTGAGTTATGCATGGAGGTTGTCCTGGTTATATTAATGTAATGTGCAATTGTATAGAAACATTGACAAAATGGACAAGGTTTTAATTTGTTGCCTGAAGGCTTGTTTGTTTTAAATTATTCTGTCCCTAAACTTTATAGCATTTGTTGTTGATTTAAAACTTATAGCACTTATGATAGAGTTGTTTTATGTCAAAGAAAAATTTGGTGGTGACACTAATGTGTAACTTTTAATGTTTTGTGATCCCTTTCATTTTATTTCTTGGTCCTATTTTATGCTGTACTGACAGATGGACAACGGTCTGTTTTTTTTTAAACTATATATTTGTTATATTTTATATGATAGTTATCGAAAGTGCAATATTTATGAATAAAAATTTAACTGCTATTCTGTATAGATCGGCCTTATATTTTTTAATAAGGGTTTTATGTTGTTATCTGCATAAATTTATTTATGAAGTCACATATTTTTGATTCTTTTGTGCCATACTGATCTACAGATTTCTAAAATGTAGTTCAACTGCATATTTCAAGCATAGAGTTACTGTAAAAGTAAATATTTATACTTTAGTGTCTACAAGAATTGTCTGTGTGATGCTACAAAAAATTTCACTGGATTTCAATTTGTGTTTTTATGTGTGTATTGTTTAGAAATGAAAATAAGCAAATTCTTTGTTATTTTAATTAAAATCTGTAAAAGAAGCATTATTGAATTGAACAAGGTATTACTTCTTTAAATGAATTCATCAAAAGTTCTGAAAAAGCAGCATAATAGGTGTTTAAAACTGTTTAAAATTTTAATTTGCTTTGGAAAATAAATGTATTGTATAGAATGGATAATTTATGAGATTTTTTAATTGCAAGATTAACATACTTAATTAGCGTAGCATGCAAGGAAGTAATGCATAAATCATTTGTAAGTTGTATTTTTCTATTACTTTTTTGTTCTGAGAAGTTTATTTTTTATGGAAGCTTGTGAAATTTAACGTTATAGGATTATCTTTTGTTATATACATAAGTGGAAGAAAAAGTCTTGTCTTGTGAGCAGTTTGAAAAGGGATATATATTGCATATTCAAATATTTTTAAATAACGAAAGCAAAAAATTTAAGATGTTGCTGACTTGTTCTGTTAGAAAAAAATATTAAGCATTGAGTGAATACTTTTATTTTTCAATTTTTATATTTGATTTGAAGCTTAGCGATACATTTGTTTATGTATTTTTTTGGAAATATGTATAAGTATACATAACATTGAAAAATCTTACATTACAGTGATATTGAAAATTGCTTATAGTTTATGCACAGTCATTTATAATTTAATATTTTTAAAATGCATTTATATATGGCACACACTGAATGAACTTTTGTGCAAAATCACTAGGTAAGATTTTTTGTTGTAAATAAAATTGTATATTATGATGTATGGAATTGATGTAAATGTATGGAATTAATGTATCACTCAGCTCTGTATCTATTAGCTAATCATTCATGTATTGAAAACAAACTGCTTTTTAATTTTTAAATCGCATGATTTTTCATTTTTCAAGTTGAGTGACTATTGCCACATAATTTTCATTATGTTCATTACTTCAGTCGTATTGACATGAAATATCAAATGGGATTGAATTGGGCATGAGAAAGAGAAGTACCATTGATTATAGTTATTTTATCATAGTTTGTTTTCTTTTGATTAAAAAAATCATTATGCAATTCTAGTGTATAATTAATGTTTAAACTTCAGTTAAAAAACTGAAGTTAAGAATTATGTGGGCAAAATTCTGTTGAAATGCAGCTTAAATTTTCTGGTTGTCATTAAACTAATGTTAATAGTAAATCATTTAGCAAATGTTTTGTTTTCAGTAGTCAATTTCTGTTTCTTAACTTTTTTTATATGGTGATTTGATTTTGCAGTATTTTGATCTGCATTTGAAAAATTTAATTTTGAAAGGCATTAATTAAAAAAAATTAAAAATGTCTTTCTGACATTCGGTAATTAGAGACATCTTTTTATCCATGTGCAGGCAAAAGTTGGAAATCCTCTATGCTCATATATGCACATGTTCATAACATAACGAGTGACATTTTTTGTGTGTATAGAAAAAACTAAATGAATGTAGGCAAATGTGACAGTTTTTAACTTTCCAATGCTTTAACATGAGGTAATAACCAACCAATGAATCAAAGTAATGGTAGCAAGTCTTTTTCAGAAAAATTACATGTAGGAGTGAGAAAGGACGAATGAAAAATACATACCAGGTTGTTAGGCAGTTTGACTTTTCTGATATGGAATACATCATCCTTAAACTGTGACACTGCAAGAACAGAGCCATAGCATGTTTATTGCCGAATGATATAGGAATTTTTAGGGTATATTGTTCTGTTCTCCTTTGGAGCGTGGGTGAGACCTTGCATATAATCTGTCAGAAGACTGCAAAATGCAGCTCATCTCCTGATGATGTCCCTTACATTCTGTGGAGCTTAAGTCTGGAGAACAAGCATGCTAGTCTGTTTGACAGATATTCTCACCCTGCAAGAGATTCTGCTGGAGGGGACATGGCCTTTTCATCCATTAATTAATTTTATGAAGATGTGCTTCTTGACATTGGCATGTGAGAGAAAAATATATCTTTCTAACATTAGTGTGTCTAGTAGCAATAATTTTTGCTATTTGTAGCTTAGGCATTGCTTTTATTTTTTAAACTTTATTGTGTATTTTTCATTACTTTGTGGTCAAAAACTGATATTGCCAATACAGGTGAAGCTGTATTGAGTAGTTGTTTTAAAAAATAATTGGCCTTAACTCTTTGGCATCGAAATCGCCCGTAGCGCCCGTTCATTCAGGCAACGGCAAACCGCCCCAACGCCTCGTTTATTTTCTACCTAGTTCTTTCCCCCCCACGTTAGTGTATGGCTCATTGGTTTCCTGAGTTGTTAAAAGACATGTCAATCATTCTTTTGAAGCAAATAAAGGAGAAATGCGGAAAGCTATTGACGTTCGCAGGTGCAATCCGGCCCTAAGGTGAAACTGCGCACAATGGATGAATGGATGAAACCGCAAAAGGGGGAAAGGAAAACTATTCCAAGACAAATTCGTAAACACGGGCGTTTTCGATTTGTTGAAAACAGATTTGGTCGTCTCTCGATGCGAAAGAGTTAATCAAGTTGGGTATATAATTAGTGATGAAACAAAAAGGTTTTATCTACATGTAATATCCATTGTTCATAAATAATGAAAGGTTTATAATTTATTACTTTATTATATTAAGTAACTTTATCTGAAAATTGGACAAAGTAAAAGCAGTAAGAGAGAAATTCTGTATACATCAAAATAAAAGTTTCTGGGTGAGTTCTGTGAAGATTAGATCCAATAGTTTAAAATAATAACACCGTTTATTGTATTCCTTATGAAATTTTGTAACCTTTTTATCTAAATAAGGGTCAGCCTAAACATTTATCTAAATGCATAAAATTTTCTGATGGTTATGTGTGACATATGGTGTCTTGGCCATTGAACCATCATTCTTTTCAATTCCTCATCCTTCTGAAATCCATAGCGGTTTTCTGTGGAAGATGAGAAGAGATAGTAATTAGTGTCAGATTTGAATTATATGGAGCATGATCTGAAATCTGTCTTTTGAAAATGTTGCAAGATTTCATAATTTGGAGCAGCCATGTGTGGGTGAATATTGTCATTATTTCTTGGGAGTTTACCTTCAAACTATATGAAATCTATACAGTCTGTAAAGCAGTTTTTTGACTTAATATTTTGCATTGGTAAGTGTATCTTTCATATTTACTATAAGTCCAAATTATGAAAGCATTTAGATTTCAGGTCATTCATAATCACTTTTCTATTCTATAATATATTTTTCTGAGAAACCTCTTGATAACCACAGATTTTGTTGGGAGGAGGATATCATAATGCTAATAATATGGTAGCTCAATGTATAGAACATTACAGTTGAGAAGATAAGCATTAAAATAGTCCAATGCTTAGCTGAATGCCTTTGTCATGGCAGTCAAATGGGAGTCCGTCCTGTGATGAGCTATGTAGTTTGTGCTTTCTAATGCTGAAATGCATCTTACTTTGTTGCTGGATGTTTATTGAGTTTTATGTTATATCAATCTTCCATTTAGTTGATGGGTATGGTACTAAAGTGTTTTCTTTTGTAAAAAATTCAAGAAAATATTGTGTAACAAAAAATAACTTAAATTCCAGAAGGTGTTTTTAAGCAAATTTGTAATCTTTTTAGCTTTAGTGTTCTTTTAGTGTTTAGAATAAAATTTGTCAGGAATGTATGTGAAAAGTCATATCAGATTTGACTATTCATTGTTTTTTATGTTATTTAATGTTGATTATTGGCTTTTAAATTTAATATATCCTTGGACTTTGTCTTCTGAACTTTTGTCTTTGTTGATAGTTGTATCTTTACTTCCTTGTACGAAGTAAAGGAAGTATTGTAATTGCAAAAAATTCCAGGTATCATATTTCAGTGGAAATATTCATTTTGATTTCCTGAATCCATTTGGAAATTTTTTTGCATGACATTTGTACGTGCAGACAGAATAAAGGATTGTTTTCTAAAACTGATTTTAAAATGGATTCAAAAGTGATTTTTTTTTTCATGACATCTGTGTATGTACATACATATGTATGCATTTCGTGTAACTCGAGAGCAATTACTCTGAGAATGCTGAAATTTTGAATATGGGACTGCTATAACATCTAGTTGTGCACTTCCCTTTTTATTGCAATTGGCAAAAACAAATGTGTATGTATATAAATTTCTTCTGTAAAGAGAACACTGGCCACCCTGTTTGATATAGTGGTTAATAACTGTCGGTCGTATCATTGGGCCTGGGTTTAAATCTGGGAGAAGGTTTGAATGTTTGCGAGTGTATAGTTTTTGTGTTGCATAAGGCCACTAAAAATACTGGCAAGCCAAAAAAGTCCTTTTGAAAGGCTTGATGGTAGGGAAGAGGAGAGAGAGACCCCGGATCCATACCTCAGGGGTGTGGTTTGTTAAAATTGGGATGGAGCTATTGATGTAGTGTGGTGGGTCTGTATCTGTAAAATAATTGGTAAACTTTGGTGTCCTCACACTTTTGTGTCTTGTAGAGGGTAAATTAATGCTCTCTAACAGTCAGTTGTGAAATGTCCTAAGTTTCACGTATGTGATATGATATATTTGAATTGAAATGTGCCTTACTGTGATTAATATTAAACCAGTTTTATTTCTGTCAAAAATTTTAATGTATATGGTAGAAACGTATTATATCTTCTTTTTAGTCCTGAGGCCAACATAATAATTCTGAATGATGAAATTGAAATTATTTCTGTTGGAGTCTGTAATATTAATTCTTAATTATTAATTTTGTGTAATTTTGTAAAGTCTAGGTGGGTTAACTTCTATCTATATACTGGAGTAGGAGGAACCTACACAGGAGAAGGGTTCACATACTCTTTATTAACTCTTTAAAATTTACAATATGTCAACTCGCTGCTAACAAACTTCGCCTCTACTTGGGCGGTAACTGAAAGTCGGATAATTGAAACTAAAAGTTGAAATATTAACAAGTGATAAAACTAGCCTACAGGGCTCGGCGAGATCCCGAACTTCAACCACCTTCTAAGCTAGTGGTAGCAAAGCAATGCAGTTAAACCACTTGAACCAGCAATGAGCAAACGTACCTACGGCAGATAGAGCCTAACTCTCCCTTTCTCCTACCAAAACTCTGCTTTTAACTACTTCCTTCAAAATAGAAAATTTGCATTTGTTCATGCGCGCTACAACATTTAACTATTCTGGCACTGACAATTAGGGGAATGAAGGATTATAGGAAAGTTTCAAATAAAACTTTAAATTATTAGTTAAAATAAATATAAATCCCTACAATTAATTGCTTTTTAAATTTCCAATTGATATTTTGACATTGCTACCATATAGTTGGATATTTAATTAGATGCATATACTGGATGTGTCTATCCTTCTGTCTCAAAATATATGCATAATCAGTATATTATATCTCTCTCTACACACACATATATATGCAAAATGTCATTAATGTGAAGTTAGAAGACAACAATGTATTCTCTGTACAAGTTGTTCTTTATTGCCCCTTGTAAACTTTCTGTTAGTTTCTTACTTTTATGCCTTTGTCAGTTTTTCACAGTATAAGAAACATTGATGTATTGTGGTTGCAAGTTGCATGCTTAGTTAGTTTAATAATTATTAATTACTCGTATAAAATACTTAAATATTTATTTATTGTTATTTATTGTACATATATATATTCTAAAATATACAATAAAAGTAAGTTATTTGCAGCAGCTTTTCTTTTTCTTTTGGATTTTGCGTACATCAATCTTCTCATTTCCCTCGTCTACTTCATCTACTACTGACACTGTTCCAATATCCTTGCTAAGCATAGCATCAACGAGGAACCTAAATGTCATTAATAAAATAATTAAGTCTTATGCAGATTTATTTTACAACCAAACATGATAATATAAATTCTGAATTGGTTTCCTCCTAACTGAAAAGTAGCTTATATGAAGGGCATTACCAGAATTCTCAAGTACAATTTTGGGGCAAGTAATGATAAAAAAACACCAAATTTTCCGCCTAAAAATTCCAAAAATAAGCTTTTTATATCAGAAAAATATGAAAAGCATCATGATTTCCATTTCTCATTTATAGAAACTGAAAATTTTTATCCTTTGTAATTCAGTTTCTCTGCAGTCTTCTATGAAATAATACAATGAATTCAGCGTTTTTGCCATATTATTTCATGTATTTTATTGGATGAAAGTAGTTTAGCTCTCTTATTTTTTGCAATCTTTTTTGAGGTAAATTTTGTATATTATATAATACATTTTCATGCTATCTTTAGTAGGATCAGGCTCGAGTTATTAATTTTGGAGCATTCTTCGTACAAGCATGTGTAAAAATTTAAACTTTAATAGTTTAGTAAAATATGTTCGCGGTATAAAATTTTTCGTAATCTAAAACTCCGTTTGGTTGATCTTTGGATTATGGTAACTTGGCGATTTTTTGGCGAAAATTTGGCGACCAACTCTGCTACAGCAACCCTCTATTTCTTTTTCTCCGCCATTTTGTCTTCACGAAGTAAAGACATGTTTCTTTTCTTTTTATTTACTGAACACTTTTTCCAACAATCTACTAGCCGAATTACACTTATGCTAGAAATTTTATGTAACAAAACTGCTTAATCATGACAAATATTAACTGCAAAATTGGGAAAAAGTGTACAATCGCAAACTCCTTGCGCGTTTTTCAAAATAGCACATACACATAAACCATTTACACGTCAACTTATTTTTACTTAAAAAAAAAATCCCAGAATTGCACAAAAATGGCATTGCGCACACTCTTCACTATATCAATGTACACTGCTTTTATCTCATAAATTAGAAAAATTTCACGAAAATACATGACAATTTTCTCAATCTTTAAACCCGGTAAAAAGAACATATATGAAATTACCTGATCGCGAAAAAGTATATACCCTTTCCAAGGATGAACATTTCCACGTATAAAATAAATAAATATCCAAAAACTTTTACCTCTAAATTATCTATTATATTATAAACGTCACCAACGAATTCATACCGCAAACATTACAAATGGTTACAAATACTTAGTGTCAAATATTTAAATTATTTCCATTCACGTTTACTTTCACTGAAAACGTATACCAAATTCCTACAAACATATAATTCACAAAATAACTATCATTTAATTAAAATATAATTAAATTCAAAAAACACTACTTAAAATATAAATAAGCACATACATTAAATTAATAAAAATTAGCTTACAATCCTAATTACTTTAAACTAAATCATTGCTAATAACAATTTTCCAATAATACCATTACTTTATTTTACTCCTTACATTTAGAACAATGCATAAAAATAATATCCTCAGATAATTAAAAATACTAACTTACCTAATCTTCTTCAGAATCTTGATTACGTGGCGGATACACTTTTCTAATTGATTCAATAAAATTATTGAAAGATTTTTTCTGCGAATTTTTCCTCCATACTTCCTCAGCTAAATAAAAAACAAAATTCTCTTAACACAATGCGTCGGAATGGCGCTTTTTATAGCACTCCATGTGCCCTCTATTGTATTCGTATGTGCACCTGTTTCAGGATCTTTAAAAATGATATGGTTCACAGCAAGATTTTGAAAACCTTCATTCTTCAAACATGCATACGATTTCCAGCAATCAGATATGATTATTGTATCCGGAGTAAGTAGAATATACTGCTTAATAAAATTTAATAAGCAATCTTTACTTCTATCTTGCACAACCTTAAAAAAACACTTATTACTACCCCTTTCAATCTCACCAAACACCCATTTTCCTTCCACTCTCCTACCTCTCTGATACTTGCGCTTCCCAAACTTACTTTCATCAATTTCAACAATAACATTCATACCACCAAGCATACCCATATCATTTTCGCAAAATTCCACGCACACTTCCCTACAGAAAGAATTCCAATCAGCTGCAGTACTACTGCTAATTTCTAAATCCGAAATCCAGTAGTCAACTGGCAGTCTATTCACCCAATAATAAGAAATTAATAAAATTTCACCCATACTCAAACGACTTTCAGCAAACCACGTACCCTCCTTACACTCCGTTTCACAAAATGTCCATTCACCAGATTTCTTGCACCGTCATTCAAACTTATCTGTAATATCCTTCCTTTCACACAATCTCATTTCATTCCCACATTTTGGACATTCATACTTATCCGCAATTAAACCTACACTCATACACCATTCAACCAATTCTTTTGAATTATCAGATAAACGCATTAAAAATTTAGAATTCACTTTAGACAGCGCCATGCAATCCGAAAATTAATCAACACTACTTCACACAACACACAATGAAGCTTAATACAAAATAATATACTACTTCAGATATTTTTCCAAATTTTTTTATTTATTTTTTTCCTCCCCTTTTCCGATTAAAGAACTGTAATTCGTCCATTAATGTCACATGACATATCTCATGATCTCTCATTTCCCTCACACAAAATAATGCGTAATCGGAACTGAGTACTTCTGACATTATTACCAAAGTCCTAGGTAGTAACCTTTATCGCCTCCAAAATGTCGCCAAACTACCAGTTACCATATTCCAAAGATCAGCCCTCCGTTTTATTTCATACATTGAAACCAAGCATTTATGAACTATGATACTAGCTTTGAAAACTTTTATGGAGTTTCCTGTATAGTCGCTCTTTGTGTGCGATAGCTACTGTACATTAACGAGCCAAAACATTATGACCGTTCCCACATTTTTCAGTGAGCTCGTCTGGATGATGTGGAGGGCAACGTGATTAATTCGGGATGGTATTTAACTGCAGCTGTAGAAGGTAAGGAATTATTCATGCACTTAACTTTTGCGAGTGATGGAAAAGGCTGCTGATCTAAGCGAATTTGATAGAGGGTAGATTGTAATGACCCGCCGACTTGGAACGAGCATCTCCGAAATTGTATGACTGGTAGGTTGTTTACCATGTGCTGTGGTAGTACTTATGCAGAGTGGATAAATGGCGGTGAAACTAGCAGTAGACGCCAGACGTGTTGGACGTCCATGTGTCATCAAAAGTAAAAGAATGTCGGAGATTGTGCCGCCTTTGCACTGCAAAGTCGGCGCCGGAGAGTGGCTCAGCTGAGGTTCAATACAGTGCAGGTCTAAGTGGAAGTATTTTGGAATATACAGTTCAGTGGACACTGATGTTGGATATGGGACAGCGCAGCAGACGTCCCACTGGTGTGCTTGTGTTGACGAAGCGTTATTGTCAACTATGCCTACATTCGGCCCTCAGCATCGAGATTGGACCATGGATAAGTAGAAGACAGTTGCCTGGTCGCATGAATCACGATTTGTCATTCATCACGTCGATGGTAATGTAAGGTTACGCAATCTTCCAGGCGAATAATTGCTCTCCCCCATACAAGCAGGTCATACACAGGCTGATGGTGGCGGTGTTATACTTTGGGAAATGTTCTTATGGGCAGCTCTGGGAGCCTTAGTTGTAGTAGAACAGACCATGAAAGCGATGGACTGTTGGAACATAATTGTGGATCAGTTGCACCTTACATGTCATTTGTCTTCCCAACTGGAAATGGAATCTTCCAGCAGGACAATTCCCCATGTCACAAGGCTCGAAGTCGTTTGAAGAGTATAAAGATGAACTCTAATTAATGTCCTGGCCGCCTAACTTGCCATGTCTTAACCCGATAGAGCACATTTGGGATGTCATAGAGCAGCAGCTCAAACCTTAACCCTCTCCGCCACGCTACCATTTAAAGTCGGAGTTTTGATGAAAAAAAGGTAGGCAGTCTAATTAGGCCTAGAGGAGTAAACAAGTAAAATTTTGTGAAGATAGCATTTATCGTTTTAATTCTGTGAGTGTGCCCAAAGTGGCACACTGATTGAATAGAGCTTCGAAAAGAGTGCTGAAACGAGCATTGTTGTCAATGAACTGACCGATGAGATGCGGAGAAACAAAGAATACAGACTCTCAGTTGTCCTAGATTATCGGTGAGCCCAAACTGGGCACACCTAGGGTTCGCCGTTTGATAAGCAAGATTTCAAGGTAAAAATTTAAAACTAATATAGAATAAGGAGATTAGCATACAGCAAAAAAATAACATAGAAATTTCTTTTCAAACAATTCCTTTTATACCCTAAAAATATCTGGAAACTTTCTTTGAAAAATGAGGGTCTTAAAAAACTAAACATAGCCAAAATATAGGGACTGGTTTGTGTTGATCTGCCATCTACTGTAAATAAAGAAGGTTCAGAGTAACCTATGGAAATCTATAAATCCTTTTTCATTCAATTTTTCTGTGCGTACAGAAGGAAATTTTTAGGTGTGTCCAGACCGGACACACTGTGCCGCAAAGGGTTAAACACCATCATGTCGGAATATCTCGATTTTGTGTGACTGCTGCCTAGACATTTGGTACAATCTATCTCCAGTCATTTACCAAGAACTTGTGGCATCTATGGCAAGAGGAGTTGCAGCTGTTTTGCAGGCCAAAGGTCGCTCAATGTGTTATTGAGTAAGTCATCATAATGTTTTGGCTCTTCAGTGTATAATAAATACCATGCAATTATAAATTAATGATGACTCAGATTTCAAATATGTTGAGAAGCTGGATTACTGTTTGGCAACAAATTAGATAAATGCGATTCTAATAATTAAAAATATGTAAGAAGTTGCATTTAATTTAGAGCTTTCGTACGAAATGTGTAGATGTCTTTGGTTTTTAAGTGTGAAAAATTAGCAGAATTAAAATTGTAGGTCAGACCTCCAAAGCAGCTGAATTACAGCGATAATGATTGTAATCTTTTAACTTTACTCGTAATAACATTTTTCTCTTAA